CACCATACGCAGGTGGGCGGCCAACTGCAAGCATCGCTCCATGCAGGCCAGCTGCGATGGATTTCAGGTGAGCGCAGACACTTGTCATGTAAAAAAGACTTCTCCGAGTCGATAAAGCCATATCCACCTCTTTCGATGTCAATTTTTCTCTCCGTTTTTGCTCACAAATCTCATCTCTTTCAGGTCTGCCAGTCACATTTTACACCAGACTGCTTTGACCCTGATACCGGGGAGCTGAAGGAAGACGCGGTGCCCACACTGGAACTAAGCCGACCTGTCCATGAGTTGCGCTGCTTGGTCAATGGCTGCGTTAGGGAGAAGGATGCAGCACGTTGTCGTTTTTTCAAAGTGCCCAAGCGTGCCTCACAGCTGGACGACTGGTGTTACAATCTGCGCATCGATGCTGCGTCCATAAGCGGCCAGGAGGTGCACGTGTGTGAGCGTCACTTCGAGACGCACTGTTTCAGTGCGTACAAGCTGCGTCCGGGTGCACGACCTACACTTCATTTGGGCCATGATGATGAGTTCGATTTGTTGCCCAATCCGGCAAAGTGGGAGGAGGAAGTGAATGTATGCTTTGTGCCCAGCTGTGGCCGGTCCAAGGATGTGGATAATGTGGAGCTATTCGGAGTGCCCAGGATTAAGGGGGTATTGGACAAATGGCTGCAAAATTTCCGCCTCGAGCCGAGCAAGGAGCAGCTGCAGGGCATGCGGATATGCAGCGCACATTTTGAGCCCAGCTGCATAGAGAATGGCCGTCTAAATTTAGGCGCGATGCCCACGCTGCAGCTGGGCCACGATGAGTTGGACAATATACATCAAAGCGCGGAGCTGCCGCCACCGCAGCTTAAAGGCAAACGATTAGCCATGAGCTACGACTGCTGCTATCCACAGTGTATGGAGCTGCAGAAGAGCTATCAAAGAATCGCATATGAGCTGCCCCAGCAGGAGGCACTGCGTAACTTGTGGATGTCGTATCTGGGTCTCGAGCAGCATAATCAGCAGCCGCTCAAGCTCTGCCCGCTGCACTTGATCATGCTTTATGAACACAGTGTCAACCATTTTCCAGAGCATTCATCAGAGGAGCAGCTGCTGGACGCCAATTACGAGGTTGCGCGAAATAGCGTCCGCATACGGATTATTAGCTGTGCGGTGCGTGGCTGCAGGACACTCAAACCACGCGATGACTATCGCCTGCACGCACTGCCTACGCGTCGCGATCTACTCCAGATGTGGCTAGACAACATGCAGCTTGTGTTCTACGAGCAGCAGCGTTATATGTATAAAGTATGCAGCAGACACTTTGAGGCCATCTGCGTAACAGAGACCACTCGCCGTCTAAAACCGTGGAGCATGCCGACGTTGGAGTTGCCGGAACGTGACCCAGACGCGCCGCCGTTGCATCAGAATCCCACGGAGGAGGAGTGGCAGCGCATGAATGAGCAAATAGGTAGCAGCGAAGCAGTGGAGTTGTTAGAGCCCGTGGTCAAGCTGGAGCCGGAGCCCATTGTCAAGCAGGAGCTGCACCCTATTGTCAAGCTGGAGCCGAAGCAGCAGCCAGAACAGCTATATGAGGATGAGGAGTACGAGGCCAACGATCAGCAGCAAGCGCTAGAGGTGCTGCTCGAAGTGGGTCACGTTGAGAAGTGCACCACATACGAGCAAATGGACACAAAACCAATTATAGGCTATGCCGATACCCTGTCACATAATCCACTAGGCCCAACGACAACAGTGGGCAGCGCCTGTATTGTCGGCAACGGATTCACCTACAGCGCGCGCCACTGCAGCGTGCGGGGTTGCGATGTGACCACTCTGGATGTGAATGACAGTCTCAAGCTACACAAGTTTCCCACATCGCTGGATGCCATGGAAAAATGGATGCACAACACCCAGGTGAATGTGGACATCAACTTTGCGTGGCGTTTTCGCATCTGCAGCTTGCATTTCCTACCCGAGTGTTTTAATGGTTCGCGTATCAGACGTGGGGCCATGCCCACGCTGCGTCTGGGATCGCGCCGCCTAGGGAATATCTATGACAATGAGTTTAATGTGCAGCCAGAGCAGACGAGTGTGGATCAGCCGGCTGAGGCGACAGCAGACGCTGTGGTGCCCACTGAACCGCACGATATCGCGACGGAGTATAATATGAATCTGCATTTGCCCTGCCCCGCACCACCGCGCAAGTCCAGCAAATTCTGTCAGATCGATGGCTGCTCCAATCATTTGACCAGCGAAAATCTTACGCTGCACAAGTTTCCACACTCAGCGGACATGTGCGCTAAGTGGCAGCACAATACACAGGTGCCGTTCGATCCGGAGTACCGCTGGCGTTATCGTATCTGCAGTGCACACTTCGAGCCCATCTGCCTGGGTAACATGCGGCTGATGCATGGCAGCGTGCCCACACTGAAACTGGGCGCCCGGGCGCCCAAACAGCTCTTTGGCAATGACTTTGCGGCGATTAGCTTGCGCCTGGATAAGGAAAAGCGCAGCGCCGACCACAGCTTGCCAGTGAAGCAGGAGCAAGTGGAAGATGATCAGGAGCTGTATGATCAGGAGCAGGAGGATCTGAGCATGCTGGTACCAGAGCTGCAGCTGCACGAGGGCGACGACGAGCAGGAAGACAATCAGTTTATTTACACCAACAGTTGGAGAGATTCGCAGCAACAGCTGCAGCTGCAGCTACGTCTGCCCAGCATTAAGCAGGAGAAGGGCACCATCTATAATCCCGTCAAGTCTGGCTACGACAAGTGCTCGCTGGTGCACTGTCAGCGCCAGCGTTCACAGCATGGCGTCCACATCTATAAATTCCCACGCTCGCGCCAGCTACAGCATCGCTGGATGCACAATTTACGAATCAGATATGACGAGCGGCGACCTTGGAAGACAATGATATGTAGTGTACATTTTGAGCCGCACTGCATACGCCTGCGTAAGCTGCGTCCTTGGGCGGTACCCACACTAGAGCTGGGCGACAATGTTCCGCAGGATCTGTACAGGAACGAGCAAAGCCAACAGCAGTTTGTGCAGCAGCGCAGCAGCGACGTGGAAGCGGGCAGTGAGGGCGAGGACTATGATGCGGAGCTGGAGGACCCCATACTGGAGGAGTACGACGAAGAGTATGATGATAATGATAATGCTGAGGAATTGCCGGCTGAGCCACACATCAAGCGGGAGTATCGCTCACGCTGCGATCCACTGCCGCCGGGTCAGCTGCCACCCTGGAAAATCAAGCAATGCTGTTTGCCCTATTGCCGCAGGCCACGCGGCGATGGCATCAAGCTTTTCCGGCTGCCTAACAATATCAGCGCCATACGCAAATGGGAGCAGGCGACGGGCATGCGCTTCTTTGAGTCCCAGCGCAACACAAAACTCATCTGTAGTCGTCACTTTGATCCGCAACTTATTGGTGTGCGTCGTCTTATGTCCAATGCGGTACCCACGCGCAATCTGGGTCCAAACAGCGAGGAATCCGAGCTACCAGCGACCAGTCCACGCTGCTGCATTAAGGATTGCCAACCAGATGGACATGTTAAGCTGCACAAGTTTCCCAGCGGTAAATATTAAACGCCAACAAGCCATTGCTTTGTCTAATCACTCTTCAACTTTGCGCACAGATCCCCAGCTGCTGCATCAGTGGTGTCAGGCGCTTAATTTGCGGGATGAGCAGCGCCACTCCGGCAAGTATATTTGTGCCGTGCACCTGCCCACCAAAGCGATGAGCTGTCTCATTTGCGGTGTGGAGGATGTGCAGCTACCCATGCAGGACTTTCCCGAGCATCGCAATCAGCGAGTCAAATGGTGCTACAATTTGAAAATCGAACCAGTCGCCAAGTGGGACAACTCGAAGCACATTTGCTGCAAACACTTTGAGAGCTATTGCTTCATTAAGCCGGGTCATCTGTTGCCGGACGCCATGCCCACGCTGCATTTAAAGCACAACGACAGCAATATATTCCTCAACGAATCTGCCATAGAGAGCAGCAGGCTGCTGCGCGTCAAGGATGAGCCTATGGAGTGTGAGGATCTGATGCTGTAACAGTCAGAGCGAAAGTATACCGTGTCATTTGATAATGTGTTAATTTGGAGTACTATCCCCATGTTAATAAGCCACATCATTTTAGCCTAGAGTTAGTCACAAATAATTTATAATATTTAATACGTAAGTATCTCTTATAATTGTATTTATGAAATTAAGCATCACGTCTACGCTATTCTTAGCTAGAACCCTCCCCCACATACTAAACATAACTGAGTAGCTAATATAATATATACATATAAATGTATATGTATATGTAGTATGTAGTCTATGTGGTAGTCCAGTGATTTTTCAATCCTTATAGCCTTATTTAAGTTTTATACACGGAATGTTCCTTGTTTAGCTGTTGCTTTAGTTCATTTTTAAATTGTGTGGCAATTTTAACTTTGTTTTTTAATTTAAATAACGAATACATAGGATCTTTTGGCTTATTTCCCCTCGTTTTGCCAGGGGCTAAAAAAAAGTTCTTAAATCATCACATTGATAGCGTGATTCCTGTCGAGTGGCTAGGGAATAAATAAATTGTTCTCTTAGGTTTTGGGATATCAAGAATTATCCTTATCTTCAAATACCAAATGTTAGTATTGAACAAGTACTTGAAAAATCTGCAAGCATTTAGCTGAGCTAGAGGTACTATTTCTCTATGGAGTAATCCTCTTCTCGTAGCTACAACTCAACTGTATCATTAAGAATGTCATCATTTTAAACACTCATACAGTAACAACACAATATGATTCATCATACTCCTTTTAATATCAATAAGCATATACAAATATGTAAACCTGTAGAATATACAAAAGTACTTGGTGTCTTATAAAATATACATATTAAATGAAACTATTATATTACTAAGCTACTTGCCATAAAAGTAAAACGTTGACTATATATTAATATATACTCATATATATATATATATATGTATATATAATTCATAAATTAAAAAAAAAAGAACACTGACTTCGGTATGCCGAAGACTAAATACACTTGCAGACATATGGTGCGCGATTTATTAGGATTGATATATTTCGAAAAACCAAACGAGTTTTTCGTCAAAATGTACTTCTGTAATATAAATAAGATATAGGGGTTCGATTCCGGCAACTCAGACACACTGCCTGCAAAAGAAAGGCCTAGCTGTTCCTTAAGGATTGCTTTAAGCAGAGACTAGTTTTTTTAGAAACAGACAGACGGACATGGCTAAATCGGCTAGGTTATTAATGCAAATGTGCAGAATTTTTTCCAAATTATATAAGCCTCTGCAAGGGTACTAATAACTTAAATAAGAAGCCCCCATGATAGTCTGCTACTGCTTGCCCGAGTCGTTAGCGTCGTCGGTTTGCATATAGCTGCCCTCCAGAAATAAATTGCGGTCCGATTTGTTTGACTGTGTAGCGAAAAAGAAAACGAGGTTAGTCAAAATTGTCATAATAAAGAGTTAATTTAAGACACCACCTCACCTCGCGATATTTTTGTAAGTAAATGGAGAGGGGCTCCACATAGTTGTCGAAGCCCAGATTGCTGAAGGCTACCAGCAGGTCATCCCCGTTAACTGTTTTCCGGTTCTCGGCGACGCTGCGCTCGATGGCCTCGCTGCTGATAAATGATATGAACTCCGAGACGCACTCTTGTATACACTCTCTGGCGTCTTTGGCTATTTTGCCATTCTGCGGCACTGGTACCTTCATTATCTTAATAATGTTGCAAATGGGCAAAAATCGATCCTGTTCGCGCAGCATGCTGCCATGTCCATCCTGTCGGTCCGATTCGTCTGCAATGCAATTATCTTTATAAGCACTTATATTATATTGATTAATTGCTTACCACCCGATGCATCGTCTTCCTCTTTGACTAACATATCTGTGAGATATTGCTGTGAATCCTCGCTGTTGCTCATTTTTCTTTTTTTGTTTTGTTTACGCTCGCAGAATTTCAGCATAAAATTATTCTTACAATTAAAACATTAGTTGTTTCTAAGTCGTTTCGTTGTTAAATACTTTATTGGATGCCTCGTTTAAAATAATTAAATGACAAAGGCTTCACCCTATTAACAACTTTAATTTTAAAGCAAAGACAATTTGTTTGCTTATTGTTTTTTATAGCAGTATCTCTTGTTCTGTTACAGTTCAATGTACGTATATCGACTATTGTTTTCGTGCTCCGCACATGCAAATCTATCGATATGTAGCTATCGTAGCCGACGGTATACGATATATCGCCGATGCGGCAGAGGTTGTATTCGATACATTTTCGGACATAAGTCGATAGCATCTACTGATCGCAGCGGTAATTTATTTTGCGCACTTTTTTTTACGCCATAAAGCGATGCACGAGGAAATTGTTATAAAAAAGGAAGAACTTGATATTGATGATACAAAAATAAAGTTGGAGTTGGATGAGGACGCGCAGGAATTGGATATGACGTGCGGTAAATATGAGTGCTTTTGCTTTGACAATGTGCCTTTGTGTACCTATGTGTGCGTGTGCATGTGTGCGTGCGCATGGCTGTAGGTTTGCATGTGTTGCGTCTATTTTTACTACGCACTATACCGTTAGCTTTGTTTTATTTTATCTGTAAAATGTTTGCTGTTTTCTAGCGGGCAGCTTTATGAAAATCATCGAAGAGCGTCCAAATATGATAACGGTGCCGGTGCATGACTGCAAATCCGAGGATGAGCTTAAATTCATAGAGAGCCTCAGCACGTTCGATCAGCAAGAAAAGGTAGCACATAATCTCAGCACACATACATGCAAACATATCTTTGAGTGTGACAGTGTGGTTCTGTGCCTTACAGTTTTTTGTGACGTCATCTTGTGAAAAAATTGCCCCGGCCGACACTCTCGGTGCATTTGTATGCAAAATTTGCAGTTTTACGTGTGAAAATCATCTGGCGTTGGCCTCGCACCAGATTAACCACCAGCTAAATCGGCATTTCTGCTGCCATGGATGCGGCTTCTGGTGCAACACGCTTGAGGAGATTCTAGAGCATGAATTTCGCAAGCATGCGGGCGGTGTAAATGGATCAAGCTGTAGGGTAAGTGCGAGAGAGATGTCACTACCGGGGTTCTGAGCACAGTGGGCGCCCATTGTTAGTTTTCACAGGCTTTTATACCCTCCGATAGTGAATCACAATTTTATCACACATTCAATAATTTGTTTATATGCAATTTTCTTGATTTTAAGATTTTTGCAACTCCAAGCTTTACTATGCTCGTCACATATTAGTAAATTCCGATTAATTTATATATATGTACAATTATAAACATTTTCAATAATATAACGGGTGTTTCTTCTTTTTCGTTACACAGATTTGTGAGTTGAATTGTAGCGATGCCGCCAGTCTGGCCAAGCACATGAGCAGCCACTTTTATGTTCGCCGTTTTGTCTGCGCGGTATGTCGCCGGCACTTTGAGACGCGCCAGGGATTGCAGCTGCATCGGCAGCACAGCAAGGAGCTGTGCGGCCAGGTCGAATATGCTGATATACATGGCAATGTAGGCCAATTGGTGGCAGTCAGCAAGCTTGACGCCAAATTGCCTGAGGAACTGGCATGTGATGTGGAAATTAAAACGGAGCCGCTGGAAGCCGAAGAGCAACAGCCGGAACCGGAGTATGAGCAGGAAATGGCGGATATTGTTATCAAAACAGAGCCGGAGTCCGAAGCAGATGAGCTGAGCTCTGGCCAGGATGCCAACTGGATAAACAACAGCCTTGCAGGAAAACTGCGCGGCAAATTGCGTTTGCCGGCGATACAGAAACCCATAAAAGTTGAAACTGAAAGGAGCGTTGAAACACCAACGCCTGTGCCCCCAACCATACAGTGTAGGTACTCTATATAAGAGTTAGTATTATTATGTTTATGCTCTGTTCAGAGTTCATATTGAACTCATGCAATGTCCGTCTAGTTAAAGCAGCTTGTTGGACTCTTTTATTTACATTCTCTTTTTTTTTTGCAGTTGTGCCCGCAGGCAAATGGAAGCCTGTACCAATACCTAACACTAATGCATCGGTAAAGCTGCCAAACATTTTGAAGCCCAAAATAGGCAGTAATCAGCAGAAAAATATGTTGAAAAAGAACGTCTTGCAATCGTTCAAAAACAAGCCAAATATTGCAGCCAACGTCTTAAAGGTTCTGCCCAGCAATTGCATGCTAATCAAATTGCCGCCAAACACCAAGATCGTTAAAATAGCGCCCAGCCCGACGAGCGTCAATTCGAATAGCTGCACCATTGGCAGCAAGATTATTACACTCCCAAGTGCCATGTCCATAAGCTCAGTTTCCGTTGGTTCCAAAAACTACTCGGCCGCCACAGTTCCTAGCCCAACTGCATCCAGTACGTCACAAGCAGAAGGCACACAAAAGGCAGTCATAAATCGCAATGCTTACTTTAATGCCTTGAGTTTATTCGAGAGTTTGCCTGAATCTCGCAAGATCATCACAGAATTCCAAAATCAAATACGCAGCATAGAGCAGACATTGCCACTGCCCGGCAGCGTATTGCAAACGCCCAAGAGAAACAACAATTTAGTGTTGCCATCGCAGCTGGAGGTGCTCCGGCTGGCTCCCACAAAATCGAGTAATGTGAAAGTGCGTCAATTGCGCTATACCTATCCCAATCATCGTTTTCACTGGGAATGTCCTAAATGTGCGCGCTGCTACGAACAGTATTTACCATTCTGTAACCACATGACCCAAGTGCACGGCATTGCGGAAGCAGAGTTCGAGCATATAAAAGTGGAGGTCAAGACTTACAAGAGTGAGTACCAATTGTGCCTATGATTTATCCTTGCTTGAAGTAATTTAATGTAGTAAACGTCGTCTACAAGGATATTCAAATTTTGCCAGACTGAAAACAGATGATATTTTTGCTCTTCTATTATCTAACAATGTTTTGTATATTTGTAGAATTGAATTTATCCAAAATGGCTCCAGCCACAAGTCCAATGGAGATGACCCCAGCTGCGCCTACTACAGCTGCGGAAGCTCCTGTGATTCCCGGTGCTGCAGAGCCAACCGCGGCTTCTACTGAGCGAGCTCCAGAAGGTACTACAGCAGCAGCACCCGAATCTGTAGTTGAAGCAGCAGAAGTAGCTTCTCTAGAAGCCGTTCCTCCAGTAATCGCTCCAGTATCAGTAGTAGCTTCTGCAAAGCCAACTCCTGTAGCACCTGTAGCGCCTGCAGCTCTTTCATTAACGCCACCCGCCTCAGCTCCTGCTAAGTCAACACGACCAGCTCCAATAGTTCGTCCTGCTCAATATCAGTGCGAGGATTGCTCCAAGTGCTTTACCACTGTGGGTGCCTTGCGTATCCACAAAATGATACACACTGGCGAGCTGCCGCATAAATGTAACTACTGTGACAAACGCTTTCGCACACCCGGCCAGGTGCGCGTCCATCAGCGCCGGCACACAGGTGAAAAACCATTCAAATGCAAGGTAAGAGCGCACTCTTAATAGGCTCCTCTTAATCTTATTAAAATGCTATCGTTTTACAGGTTTGCTCGCTAGATTTCACACATCGCGAGACGCTCATCTCCCATCTGTCGCGTCACATTGGCATGAAACGTTACAAGTGCTATGGTTGTGATAAGAACTTCGTGGTGGTCAGTGGATTGCGCGCACATCGCCGTCTACGACCGGATACGTGCGGCAAGGTCAAGTTTACGGCACGTGCACATGGTCCCCGAGTTAGAGTGATACGAGGCGAAGTCGTTTTCGAATCGCATCCCGAGCATAATGGTTACTTACGCAGTGAGGATCCCTTGAACATTATGTCTGAGATCAATCAGGCCTCCAAAGAATCATCTGTTGCTTCCGAGTCTAGCTAACGAGCTACGCATTCTTTACTTACATTGGTTTACTTTTATTTTACCTATTTGTTATGAACGTTGTAATTATTGGATGGGTAAGTCCCAACATATTTTTCATGTACCCTAGATGAGGGTATTAAAATTTTATCACATTTTATAATGTGAAGCAAACTCTTTCAAAAGAATGTATTCATATTCTTGGCCATGTCCGTCCGCTTGTATATATTTCTATCTGTCTGCTTCTAAGTAAATGTCTCAGCTTTATTACTATGAAACTTGCTGCAGATATGGCAGATATGTCTGAGTAGCTTAGATCAACCATCTAAACCTTCTACATATCATAGTTAGCATTTTAAGTTCTTGTATGAACAAACTTATCAAAATCGTGTTACTATGGCATATGGATGCCTTATGACCGTCGTAGTTGTAGGATAAAGTTCTTGTATGAAACATATAAACCTCGGGATTCTATATGATGGACATCCCGTAGGAATAATTGATTGAAAACTGTTTTTTTTTGTATGCAGCACTCTGTTGTTTAACAAGATATCCGGAACAGTACAACAATGACGGCTTTTTGCCTTTAACATGAAGGCCGTCGGTTGTAAACTGAGTTTTTGTATTAAAAACATTTTTGTTTTTTATATGAGTGTAAGAAACTACGCGATTTATAAATAATCGTTGGAAAACAACATAATTCATCTTTTTTTATCCAATGAAAATATGACACGAGTTGGGGTATTCTTTTCCATAATATGTATTTTATTTCGTCTTTTAATATTCATGTTCATTGGTTTATCGGTATATATATATTTATATATATATATCTGATACATTTAGTCGTATGATAATGTTTAACGTAATATGTTTCTTACTTAAACAATTATGTGTATGAAATACAATCGCTCGTCTCTAGCTTGATTAATTTTTAGGGCCTTCTGTATGTATCATTAAAATTGTTTTTAAATCTGACTAAATGGTAAAATATATGTATGTATGTATATATATATATATATATATATATATTAAACAATTTCATATAGTATTAACAAAATTTGACAAGCTGACCAATTTTTTGTTGTAATATACAATATAGATTTGTAATTTATTTATATAGAAGGATGCTAAATATGCTTGCAACGCTGTGGTGATTACCATTATCTATTAGACATTTATTGTTGCTAATCGTATTTGTAAACGCTATAATCTTTATTTATTCAATTTTTCATTACTATATATACTTTCCAAATATGCCCCAATACCTTGTTGGATAATGGCATTGAGCCAACTTGTCAATTTACTAGGTCCTAACTCCAATTCTTTTATTTCCTTCTTTAGTGGGCAACGCGCTAAACTTGTTATAACAGATACATATGTGTGTGTGGGTGTGTATATATGAGTGTCTGTGTGTGTGTGTGTGTGTATGTGTTTTATATCTATAATGCATTATGCACAATGCGTTAATATCTGTAGTGTACATACGTATTACAATTGTTGTTTAACATGTGTTCGGCTAATAATTATTATTTAATTTAATATTATTTGCTTTTATGCATTTGCTTGCTAACATCGTTTATAAATACTATCGGCCCATTGAACTGCATATCAAATATGTATGTACATTATAATAATTCTAAGTTCATAATGTCATATTGTAGTGTAGCTTTATAGGTATAAATGGGTGCGTTTTATAATTGTATAGACGTATCATATAAGTATTCTACAATACATATCTACAGTTATCTTATTACTCTTCTGTTTATCTGCTGGGTTTATTATCTATGCTGTCTTTTTCATACACTTTAGGTACCATAATTTTCTAGTTGTAGGATCCTATTTACTCGTATAGCTGTAGGGCTTTGTGGTATATACAGGAATGTAATTATAAAACAAATTAAAAATGGTTAACTTAGAATTATACTTGGGCAGGAATGAGAAAGCTGGTAGAATAAAATTACTTATATAAAGTACAAAGACCTAGAGTTTTACAAATCTGGACAGCTCTTGTAAGCATATTTTGGGAATGTAATAAAATAGAAAACATGCCTGATAACGGAACTTAATCTATTAACTAATTAAAACTAGCTGCCTTATAAGATATGCACTACGCAAGACTTTTGACTAATTGCACGGTTTACATTTGCTTTTGCGTTATATATATATATTTGTTTTTATATATATAGAACCTAAGCGGACTTTTTAAGTATGTCAAGTATAAAAACATATTAAACATATTTGATTGATTGTTGTACACACACAAATACATGCACATAAAGTCTAGAATGTTATGATTAATGGGGATTTGAACTCCATGCTTCTACCATTTGCTCTCGTTAAAGTTTAAATGACAACTAGTTGACTTTAGCTTATGCTTTTCTCGAGATTCGTTTAGGCGGTAAGTTTTAAAAGCTACCAAGTCCTTAGTTCAAATATGTATAGGTTTACCAGTGGGTGGTCGCTTTTTGAGAGGCGCCGCCGCACCACAACAAGTTGATTGACTACTTTGATTAGTTCGAGCAAAAACTGTATGCACATATATATATGCATACATATGTACATATAGGGATATATGCATTTAAGTATAAATTACTGATAATTAAACTTGTAACAGTCTTTTTGAGTTTACATTATACGAAATCAAACATAGCAAAAGACCGAGGCGTAAAACAAGAGTAACTGATCAAAACAGGGACAGAATTAAGTGATTTTTTAAAATTTGAATTACACAATTTTTTGTATACTATATACTATATAGTATAAGTAAGTATTGTGGGCAGTATCTGGCTATAATACTTTAAAGTTAAGGTATCCGTGTATATCATAAATGCGTTTTATGCGTACAGTTGAAAACGAACATGCAACATTTAACATGAACTTAAAGTTGACAACGCTTTTGCTCTGTAGCCCGGACTCCAACTCCTGCTGCTGTTCCTCCTTCTCCTCTTCCTCCTCCTGCTCAACTCCTTCAGTTTGCATAGTTGTCGAATGAGCCCAAATACTCCAAAGCAGCGCGATAGCAAAAATGATATTGATCCTGTCAAAGAAGATAATTTTAATTAATGCTCTAAAATAATAAAGAAGTTTTTCCACCGGATTGGGGCAAAACCGAATAAGCCGGAAAGCCTCTCTTCGGGGTCAACTCACCTCCGTCTGCACCATGGCCGGTCGCTGGGAGCGCAATATGCGCACCGTTTGAAACACATCCAGCACCCCCTCGTATTGCATGCGTTCCAGGACAATGCTGAGCGTGATAAAAACACCTGTGCGTCCCACACCGGCCGAACAGTGCACCGTTATGGGCCCATCTTGGCCAAACTGCTCCTTGGTCTTGTGCACCTGTCCAATAAAATCAATGAAGCCATCACCAGACTTGGGTACGCCCTGCTCGGGCCAGTCGATAAACTGAAACTGGCGCACCGTGCGTGATGAGCCATCACGAGCATCGGTTACCTGGATAGTTGGAAGCGAAACAATTAGTAAAGTATAGATAATGTGGAACGTGATATACCTTACCTTAAACTCGCGGAGCTTGTACTGTGGCATATTGTACTCGGCGATGGGATCAACAACATAATACTGATAGCGCACGGAACGCTCGTGGGGCCAATACTGGAAGCACTTCTCCTGCAAAAGACAGAGAGAGAGAGAGAGGGCGAGGGAGAGTAAATACTTGAGAGAGATAGCCAATGAAAGAGAATAGTTCAGCTTACCCTGCCCATTTCCTTGAGCTTGGTCAACATAACAACTATGGTGGAGTTGTGCTCCCAGAGCATGCGCCAAAAATCCTCGGCAGTATCCTGCACAGGTCCCTGAGCCGCAATATAGGCCGAACGATAACGATAGCCATCAATGAAACTAGCATTGACATAGTCGCTGCCCTCGATGCCATGAATGGGCGTCAAATAGACGCGACTCGACTCATAGGGCAGGATGTGCACCAGGCGATTCTTGTGCTTGTTGCAGGCCAGATTAGCGGTAACAAACTTGGAGGAGTCCATTTTAACATTCGATAGCTTCTTGAATTCCACCTCCATGCCCGAAATGCTCTCGCCCGGCTCGGTGGTGAGCAGCTTCTGCAAATGGGAATGCAGATTGCGTGCAGCGACCTCGGTCAGACCACAGATGATGGCCTCCAGTATGGCATCGTGTATGAAGATGTACTGATCCTCGGTTTGCACCATATAGTTGCGCTGAGCGCGCAGGCACGTCACATGGCCGTAGATGTCAATGATCTTCTCGTGCTTCATGCGCTCCAGCATCGAGTCAATCACTATATAGCAGCCAGTTCGGCCCACGCCTGCGGAACAATGCACCACAACTGGTCCAGACTCGGGTGGCGTCAAGGCGCGACATCGACGCAGGAACTGCAGGAACGGAGCTGGATGATCGGGCACACCGTGATCCGGCCAGGCCGTAAACTGTAGCTGCTTGATCTCGCGGCGATCGTTAAAGCCCTGGCGGCACAGCTGGAACGTGCGTATGCTGTAGGTGGCCAGCTCCTGGGTTTCGGTGATGGTCACAAATATCTGACCGTAAGTCTCAGTGCCGCGCGTTGGCCAATACTGATCGCATTTGATCCGCGTGCGCTCCTCCAAACGGGTCATCATCACAATCGTCGCCGTCTTCAGCTCCCAGCACATGCGCCAGAAGTCTGCAAAGGTCTCCTGCAGCGGTCCCTGGGTGGCCACATACGCATTATGTTTGCGATAGCCATCACAATAGTTGGCATTGATATAGTCCGAACCGAGGACGTTCTCCTGTGCGGGCAGCTGGACGCGAGAATGATCGTAGGCTGTGACATTGGCATAGCGATTCTTGGACTTATTGTGCTCGTAGTTGGAGTTATCCCAGGTGAACTGCTGGCCGGGCTCGATGCTCTCGTACTCCTGCGAGAACTTTTGATTGTCGTTCGATTTGAGTCTTTCAATGTGATTGGCAAACTCGGAGATGGGTATGGGCGGGTGTGAGATCATGCCGGGCGTTTGGAAGTTCAGTCGGCGCATGTCCACGGGATCACTGGGTGTCGGACCGGCGCCCAAGTCAGCGGCCATCAGTGGACGCGTTACTGCCGCCTGGTCGGGCGTCTTGCAGGGCTGGCGGCGACGCCTAACCACATACAGTACAATAAGCGTGGTGGAGACAACAAAGGCGGCTATTAAGGGCAGCACCACCCAGAGTATCTCCGGCTCATCCTTATTGCGATTAACCGAAACCTCCGGCTCGGAGGGCCAGTTAGGATCCGGACGATGTGGTCGTTCGCCGGGCGGCGCCTCGCGCATATCCAGCGACAGGAACTCAGAGAAGGGACTGGACGTATACAGATGCTTTTGTGGCGTATCCACCACGGCGCGTACAAATATCCGATAGCGTTTCTCGCGCTCCAGCTTGCGATTGGTAAAGTTGTGATAGTCATCTCCCGAGCCCAGGTGGAAGGTAAAGGGTATGGAGCGCTGTGGAAATTTGGCAGCTATGTACGGTGCATTAGGACGCTCCGGCTTATTGCGTCCGGGTAGCAGGTCATCTGTGAGGAACTGATCGGGATTCTTGTGTAGATTCGACTTGTCCTCGGGCACCACAACCAGATAATAGTGCGAGATGGGGCCATACTCTTCAGATGCCTGTGGCAATATAACCAATATTTCCTCGCCATTCACCACACCATAGAAATCCGGCTTGACCATGGGCTGTGGCGCTGCCATTTGTGTGGTAACTGTTATCTTCGTTGGCGGCCTGTAGGAATAATCCGAAGGTATCGCGCTCACATTTACATTGTACGTGGTAAATGGACTCAGTTCGTTGATCGTGTGCGTCTTCACAAAGTGCTTCAGAATAATCTCACGCTTCGGCACCGTTTGCGTCTGGGAGAAACCCTGCGAGTCCACAAACACCTTCATCGCATCAAAGCTGATCTTGTAGTTCACCGGATTTAGGCGTATGGGCGGGGACCAGGAGAGCGTCATGGAGTGTGTGCTGACGTCGTGGGCGCGCAGATTAAGCGGCACATCCTCGGGCTTTATGCGCACCGTTACCTTCTCACTCAGGCGTCCCAGTCCGTTCTTAAATCTCGCTGCAATGGCTACGGCGTATTGGGCAAACTTCTCCAGGTTGACCAGGTCTGCCGATTCAGTTAGACCCACCGTCTTCGTTTGCCAATCATCCAGATCCTCCACAGCCGTCATTGTGTAGAAGATTTTATAGCCAAGCAGCTTTCCGCGACTGGGCACCGGCTCCCACCAGATTTCGGCTGTCTGCTCGGAGGTGGCCACCGCCTGTACGGACATTGGGGCACGTCCCATGTCGCGCTCCGTTTCAATAATTAACTTCTCGCTAAATGGACCCGCGCCCTGTTTCGTGTAGGCACGCACGCGAAAGATGTACTCGGTATTCTCCTCCAGGTTGGTGAAGACCGCTTTGCGCAGCGTCATGTTGCGCTCGGAGCCCAGGCCGTGATCGATCTTTTTGTGGAACTGCACATCGTAACGTGTGATAAGTCCATTGCGATGATCTCGAGTTGGCGGATCCCAGGTGACACAGACCACATCGGGTGTCTGAAATCGTACAGTTATGTTGGACGGCGGTCCGCCGGGTGTGCCCTCGGGCGTCTGGAAGATCTTGACCGTCTCTTGGCCGATGCCAATGTGATTGCTGCCCGCGACCCGGAACTCGTACTCCACGCCACGTTCGAGATCGTTGAAACGCTTTTTGGTCATTTGCGGTCCCGACAGCATCTCCTCTTTCAAAGCCTGATCCTTGACGCCCCAGCGTAAGCGATAGCCACGCAGTTCGCCGTACGTTTGCGCCGGACGCTCCCACTCCAGCTCAATGGAAACAATGGGTTCGCGTTCCATAATCTTCAGACTTACCGTTGGTCGGACGGGCACACCTCCGGGCGTTTTTACAATAACCGCCGCGCTGCGATCGCCGTCACCTTTGCGCGTTAACGCGGCCACCTGAATTGAGTATTTTGTGTCGGGTTGCAGCCCGGTTACACTGTACTCCAGCGTGTCGACCACATCGAATTTGAAGGGCTCGTTGAGGAAGCCCTTGCCCTGGTAAAAAGCAGAAATTAACAAGAAAAAAGAGCATTTTATTTTCCTTAAATCCTTCCTTTCCCCTTTTCCCAACTCACCTCATCTCGCATTTCCTGCACGTGAATGTGATAGCCACGTATGATGCCATTGCGATCTTTTTCTAGTGGCGGTTTCCAGCTCACATGTATCGATGTAGAGTTTAGGGGCGTAGCCTTGACATCCTGCGGATCTCCGGGCACTAGATACGACGACGAAGAGACACGAGATTAGCTTACAGTCAGCAAAAGGAACGTAATTTCATAGAACTTATTTGAATACTTAACGAGTACTTAGGAATTAACTTAGGCTAGTATAAAAGAATTTTGGGGTTCCTTATGGCTAAATTGCTTAATTTAAAGACATATATATGGAACTAGAGACATTAAAAACTAAGTGCTAAAGTTGCCTTAGACCCTAGGAGCAATTTACAAAACCAGAAC